TTTTTTTATGCTGAGTGCAGATTTGCAATATACTTAGAGACTTTTCAGGAGTCGTACGTTTCGTTACGTTAACACTTTCGTTTTCGATTGACGACTGATGAATGATCTCATTTCTTTTCTAACTACAAAATAATCGGTTACTAAAACATTAACGGAAGAAAATTTATACAGTGAACGTTTATATAATATTAGTTATCTTTATTTTCTTTTAAATCTTCTGTAAAATTATTTTTATGTTTTTCTCAAATTCAATTGGCTTTAAAATTGTCGGTTACTAAAAAATTAGCAAAAGATACGTACTTGGAAGAAAATGACATCATTATTGTACACGCTTCATTGAAGGTAATATATATAAAAATATCATCTATTATATTGTAAGTAATTAATTGTTTATTTATGTTATAAATATTTTATAAATAAAATGAAACTTGTTTGATTATTTAAGTAATAGGCAAAAATGAGTAAACGTATAGGCACAACATGGATGCAACATGGGGGCATAGCATGGGTGAAAAAGGTGTAAAATATGAAAAAATATATAAAAATGGACAAAAATGGGCACGAATGAACAGAAATGGGTGAAAATAGGAGAAAATCAAATCACATTAAAGTAACATAAAAAATTAAATAAAAACACCGTTAAAATAGGCAAATATATGTGCATAATATAGGTGAAAATGGGCAAAAATGGGTAAAATCGAATGAAAATTAGTACGATTGAGGAATCAGTCGTAGGACCTAAATGTACTTTTGATGGTAAACTATTGCTGGGGACGACAATAATTCTAGGGGCGGGAGGGGTGTCAATGAGGGACAAACTTTTTCCTAAATGTAAAATTTGATGATTTGATGATCCAATGTGTGCAATCATTTTTTCACGCGCTTCACATACGCTTAAACAACAGAAACGTGTTTTGGCTATTTCCGGGTAACTTATATTTCGTCAGCGCTCCTACAAGAAATGCAAATGTCAATATCTAGACGGTTGCACGCCTTGTGGAGCTGTTGATTTTGAGATCGCTAAAAGTAGAAGAATGACGTCATTCTAATCGCGCTCTCTTTTTTTTTGATCGAGTTGCACTAAACGACTTAGTCAGAGACTTAGACTTATCCAAAAACAAATCTGAACTACTAGGTTCACGGCTAAAAGAGAGAAGTCTTGCCTCTGAAACTACATTTTCTTGGTACAGACATCGAGAAAAGTCATTTACTCCGGTCTTTTCCCATGGTGAGAGTTACGTTCATTGCAATTATGTTCATGGTTTAATGCAAAAAAGTGGACTGACATATAATCCTGCTGATTGGAGATTGTTTATTGACTCTTCTAAAAGGAGTTTAAAAGGAGTTTTGTTACATAACTTACATAAATATGCTCCTTTGCCTATTGCTCATTCCACTCCTTTGAAAGAGTTATATAAAAATGTAGATATTATTCTCCAAGCTATTCAATATGAAAATCACATATGGGATGTATATGGAGATTTGAAAATCGCTGGTATGCTTCTTGGACAACAGTCACGATTTATAAAGCACCCATGTTTTATATGTTTATGGGATAGCAGAAAAAGGGAACAGCACTACGAGGTGTGTTCAAAAAGTAAGATAAATTTTTATTTCTGTGAAAAAATATTTATTTATTCATTAATATTTATGTTGTCCCCTTCAAAGTAATCCCCCTTAGATTTAATACACTTGTGCCAACGTTTTTTCCAATCCTCGAAGCACTTCTGGTAAGTACTTTCTGGTATAGCCTTGAGTTCTTCCAGCGATTCTTTCTTTATCTCCTCAATCATTCCAAACCTCCGTCCTTTCATGGGTTTTTTGAGTTTTGGGAACAGAAAAAAGTCGCAGGGGGCATATCCGGTGAATGTGGTGCCTGAGGCATGAATGTGATTTTGTTTTTGACCGAAAAGTTCGACACAAGCAACGATGAGTGAGGAGGTGCATTATCGTGACGCAAAATCCATGAATTGTTTTCCCACAATTCGGACGTTTTTTTCGTATTGCTTTTCGCAAACGGCGCATGATTTCAAGGTAATACTCTTTATTGGCCGTACGACCTTGTGGTAAGAACTCTTGATGTACTGCGCTACGATAATCAAAGAAAACAGTGAGCACAACCTTGACAATTGATAGAAATAGGGATTTAAGGGTCTGGGCTATGGCGTCGTAGTTTATAGTGCTGAGGGGTTATGGAAATTAGGGTATAAAGGCGTGAGGTTACAGCCTTGCATGTGCCATTATGTGCACATCAGGGAATATGGCTGTTTCGGGATTGTTAAAATACTTGGTTTGAATCAACGATATCTCGAAAAAAAAAGACATCTCAAATCTTCAAAATGGTTTATGAAGAGTAAGTGTATACCTTTCAGATAGTTTGCCCCGTTTTCAGAAAAAAAAATTTTCCGCGTTGTTATGGGACCTCAAATATACCAAAAAACTGCCTTTTTTGCCCTTTTAGGTTAGGATATCTAAAAACCTGACGTTATGGACAAATTCTAACTTCAGATTCAAATTCTACGCAAAAATTACTTCGGAAATTACCTTCCGTTGGCCACAACAAAACCATGTAGATCTATATAATTATGTAACTGACTTTGATGTTGAAAATTACCCTCAAGACGACTAACTTTTTTTGAAACGTTTTTCTCTTTTTCTGTTATAGTGTTAGATACATCTTGGAGCGTAAGTTAAAGTAGAATACCCTGTATATATAATTTACATATAATTTACATATAATTATAATTTATAATAATTATTGATTTTTGGATGTCGACAACACGATATTGTGGTATCATATATAGAACAACTTGAAGTTAAAAGAATGTATCAATTGGTATTATCTAATGATAAGCGCGAGTTCGCAGGAAGGAAATTCGCCCCGTATGTGTAGGCCCTTTTAACAGCCGAGCGGCCTTGGACTCGGACGGTGACTAAGCTCTCCGGGCACCCTAGCCCGTTCACGCGCTTCAACTGTAAAATATTAAATAGTCAGGGGACCGGACAGTATCGCGATCCACACACTTCGACTTTATTTATTTTATTGCTTATTATTATTACAATTGAATCAGCATTTTTATCAATTTAATACTTTAAGAATACGTCCGCATTAATTAATAAACATTGATTACATTTTTTTCTGTTCAATTGAGGACATTTTTCTCTGATTTTTTCTTTCAGTTAACCTAATAATGAATATGGTCCACTGATCGTCTGGCCCTTTTCCAAGTAGTAGACGTAGATGATTCCATACGCATCCCACAAAACCGTGACCATAATCTTGCCAGCTGACTTTACTGTCTTTACCTTCTTTGGGGCTGGTTCTCCTAAGGTAATCCATTGTTTGGACTGTTCTTTGGTTTCAGGAGTATAGTGGTGTACCCATGTTTCGTTTACAGTTACGAGTCGACGCCGAAAGTCTTCCGGATTACGACGTATGCGTGGCAAAAGAGCTTCAGAGGTGACCACGCGGGTTCGTTTGTTTTCAACAGTGAGCAAACGCGGCACCCATCTTGCTGATATTTTTTTCATCCCCAATTTTTCATGCAAAATTGAAATGATTGTACCCTTTGATACCCCTGTGGCCTCAACTAATTCTCGCAATTTTAATCCTCGATCACTCAACACCGTATCGTGGATTTTGTTGACCATTTCGGGCGTACTCACTTCTACGGGGCGTCCTGAACGAGGTTCATCTTTTGTTGTTGTACGGCCGCGTTTAAATTCATTTACCCAGTTATAAACAGTCTTAAACACAGGGGCAGACTTGCCATGAACGGCATTCAACTCAACTGTGATTTCTTTTAGTGTAAGGCTTTTCAAATGAAAATGTTTTATCACCGCTCGAAACTCTGTTTTTTCCATTTTTCAAATAAATCAATAACTTTTTGTTCAACCAACGCTCACAAAAAAACGACTTAATGAATCGAGCTGAAACATTGTACGATATCTAGTTAGTAGTATTGCTTGCCAAAAACATCATAATTTAAGCGTGATGAGCGTCATCTCTTGGATTTTGTAAAGACTTATTAACCCCCCTAGTAATTGACCCCCTCTCGTATGCATCACCTTTTTGCATTACAGACGAAAATCTTCCTCACTACTGTGAGAAATACGTAAACTAACCGTTTAGTCAAACCAAATTTCAATGATTTGCGACTAATGGTAATCCAGCACTCCGAATGTCAGAAACGTAAGAGGACTCATCGTAATTATTTTATACAAAATCTTCCTATCACTTTCGCTGTTCCCAGGGTTAGATAGATTAGTCTGCTTGTGATTTGGTAGGGGTGGTTTTTAAAGGTTAGATTAAAGGATAGGTGGTTAGATTGGTTAGTTGACTTTTGATCTGAAATTCATTATTTTACGAAAATGGACGAATAAACTCACTGGTACCAGGGCTGCGTGGTTGATAAAATTAGTTTTCACCCTTAAAAATGTGTTAGAGCGGATATAAAAAAACACGAGTCTAATATTTTTCAATGTTCTACCACTCTGCCAAGTTTCATTGAAATCGGTGATAGTTGAGTAGAGTTACTTGTTAGTAGAGTAAAGACGTTCCAGCCACGTCTATCAGTTGAGCCTCCTTCCACTTTTATCTACTTCCCGCAACGATCGCCAGGTGGCAGGCTCGTATTCGTTAGCCTTAGCAGTCTGTATGCTAGACTTATTTGAGAAATCATCTCTAATTCTTTGCACCTTGCCTTCTTCATTTCGTTGCCATCTATCTATTATTTATATTTTGAAATCTAGGAGCACAAAGCTAAGAGTAGATCTTGTGTTTGGTATAGCGACAGCGACCGTCAGCGAGCATAACCATTCACGTGACCCGCTCTAGATAGTCGTGCAATTTTTATACTGTCACCTACTTAATCTAGAAAAAATTTGTATTTCATATTGAAAATGTATTTTAATTATATTCGAAATATCTCAGACCTTACAATTTTTTATTCGTTGAAATTCATTTATTGTTAAACATATTTAAATTTAATTTGTTATAGGGCAATCGAACTCGACAATAAAAATGCCGTCTTTTATTGCAACAGAGCAGCAGTTTATAGCAAACTGAGTAATCATCAACAAGCCATTAAAGACTGTCAATTGGCTCTATCCATAGATCCAAATTACAGTAAAGCATATGGTAGATTGGGATTAGCATTTTCTAGTCTTAACAAGTTACAAGAAGCTAAAGAAAGTTATCAAAAGGCTTTAGAACTTGAACCAAATAACGAGAGTTTTAAAAATAATTTACAAATCGCAGAAGAAAAATTGAATCAATATACGTGTCAATCAACTGGAGTGGAAAATATATCATCTAATATGCCAAATTTAGATTTGAGTTCATTGTTAAGTAATCCTGCTCTCATGAATATGGCTAGTCAAATGCTATCTGATCCAACTATGCAAAATATGATGAGCAATCTTATGAGTGGTAATGTGGAACAAGGCGGAAGAATGGAAGCTCTTATTGAAGCGTAAGTCAAATTAACTTCTGACTAATATTGAAAAAATCTAGCAATAAACATGAAGTAAACAATATTAACATGATACACTGTATACATTTTAAAATACTACCAACTGCATTGACGTAATGCTTTTTTAAAGAACCAGCAGAATATAAATTTTCTTTTGTTTATACAATTTAATAAACTGTATGCCTGATCTAAACAATTATTCGGCTATCATTAGTTTACATATGAATGATTCTACTGTAAATAAGGCAAATGTTTCGCGTTAATTTATTTACAAATCTTTTAGTGTCGAATTCTGACGCGAGTTATTTGAAAATGGCTTGTTTCACACAGACTTTCACCTTGTATAACAATTACCTCTAGATAAGTATCAATATTATTATCAACATTATTTTATTACTATTTTCCTATCATTAAAAATCTCATATAACCTCAGAGTACCATATAACCATAATGATTTACATATTTAATGAATGTATTCTTTACATAAGCTAATATTTATAAGTATGATTACACAGGTCGACAAAATTTTATTAAAGTCCAGAACCAGAGACCAGACATAGTATACCCGAACGATTTTGATGCTCTGAATTCGAATCCGATCTCAGAATTTTTCCTATACGTTACATTTCCGAGATATCCTAACCTAAAAGTGCAAAAATTACCGTTTTTTGATAATTTTAAGGTTACATAGCATCTTGAATAAATTTTTTTTTCAAAAACGCGCCAGAGCATCACAAAGGAAGTAGTCTTACCCTTTGAAATACATTTTTCAGATTCAAGATGGCTTTTTTTTCATTGAGATATCACTGATTGAAGTTCAGTATTTTCGCAGTTTCGTAACAACGTTAAAACAGCCTATATAACATAAATATATGTGAAGCTATAAAAATATGACCTTATATTCTTAATCAGCAACCTCAAAAACACATATATAGATTTTTTCGAACGAATACGATCACTTGGACTTATAGCCTCACATATGCTATATAGGCTGTTTTAACATTGTTACGAAACTGTGAAAATACTTAACTTCAATCAATGACATCTCGATGAAAAAAAAGCCATCTTGAATCTGAAAATGGATTTTAAAGGGCAAGACAGCTCCTTTGTGATGCTCTGGCACGTTTTTGAAAAAAAAATTTATTCAAGATGCTATGTAACCTCAAAAATAGCAAAAAGCGATATTTTTTGCACATTTAGGAAACGTGATGTATAAGGGCAATTTTGAGCTCGGATTCAAATTCAGCGCATCAAAACCCTTCGGGTACACCATGTCTGATCTCTAGTACTGAGATTTGTCGGCCTGTGTTATTATATATAATTAATTAAATCTACTCGATGTATTTTACAGAAAATTTCATGTACAAGCTAATAAATAATTGTTTGAGAAAACTTGCAGAAGCTTAGAATTTTTTCTGTTCCGCGTAGAACATTTTATTGGATAACGCAAGTCGACACAATATAGTCGAATGTCAAAACTTATAAACCAGAGAATATAAGCATGGGGAAAATAATAATTTTTAGAAAATTCAAAAGATGACATGCAAAGCATCACAACTTATGTTGCAACAGCAAGTGTCACTTCTAAATAGAGTTGTGACGTCGTGGCAACGACACATCTCAGGTGCACCTGAGGCTTGGCGCAGTCTCAGGCTTCTGTTGTTGCTAGTCTGCGATTTCTCGCATAAACTAACGGGACCACTATTCAAAAATTAAGAATACCGAAGGGGACAGTGCCACTAAATCTGTAGATCTGCTCTTGGATTCCAATCAATAATTGTAATCCGAGAGCGCGAAGTACCCTGGGTCCTATCAATAGTAGAACCCGGTTTTCTTAACCCATTAAGGTCCAGGCCAAACCTGGGAAAGATAGCGCCAAACTAACTATGCCAATCGTAGCTAAATCGTAAAAAAAAATACCCGTGTTTTTTCTTTTGCCATTTTCAATTGTTTATAAAAAATTATTTAAACAAATTATCAAAAAGTTATTATTTTCAAAAAACTGATAGCGGCAATCGATTCTACGGGAAAAAACATGAAAGAAATGTATATAACGTTTTTTTGTCAGACGTCAATTTGTTTAAGAAAATAGGACAGAAAGCTTTGAATTTTCACAAATTGTACATATGGAAATTTGACTAACATAGTAATTGTTGGGTTACGAAGTTGCAAAGAGTTTGCAAAATTTTTTTTCTATTGAAACCGTGTTAGAGATCGCGTTTGAGTGGCGGGCTAACGGTTTTATGTAATATTATGGATTCAGTTTTCATTACAAAAGTTTTTAGTATATTTGGACATTTCTAGTACATTTATAAATTTGACTAACATAGGCTAATTTTTGGGTTACTGAGTTTGCAAAATGTTTTTCTATTGAAACCGTGTTAGAGATCACGTTTGAGTGGCGGGCTAACGGTTTCATGTAATCTTACAGATTCAGTTTTCATTACAAATATTTCTAGTATAAGTTGTCGTGTTGGGTAGTGATCTGATTTTTGTAGTCCCAATATAATTTTTTGTTTATAATTGATAAGTGAAGATGCCAAGGCGTAGAGTAAAAGATTTAGCAGAATCAGTTGAGGAGGATGATATCGATGATTGTCAACATGTAGATATAACTTTTATACCGGAAGATCATGAGAGCTCAGATGGAGATTCTGATTGCAATCTTGATGAAGATATTTCATCTCAAATAATTCCCACCGGCTCTTATGAACATGTCAAAAATACTTACACTAGTACGCAAAAATTATTAGAACATAATCATATCTATAAATGGCAAGAAGAGGCTCCAAGCCACTCTACAATTATGGATACTGATGATAACTTCAGTATTCAATCGATTTCGTCTTTATTTTCTAAGAACTCTGTAGAGTTATTTGAAATATATTTTTCAGATTCAATGAAAAAGTATATAATTGAAGCTACAGCGGAAAATAATTTTGAACTTAGTATGATCGACCTAGAAAAATTTATGGTAATCTTAATGATTACTATAATAAATTCTAGGAAGAATCTTCGTGACTATTGGTCAAGTAAATTAATTTTACAGTGTCCAGTCATATCTAATCTCATGACAAGGAATAGATTTGTTGAAATCAAGAGAAATATTAAATTTTATAAAAAGAAGGATGAGAATAAAAACGACAAAGTTTGGAAAGTAAGAACACCGTATGATTATTTTCGTCAAAATTGTATGCAATTTGGCTTTTTTGACTATAATCTATCAATAGACGAGATAATGGTTAAATATTATGGCAGATTCGGAATAAAACAATGTATACGAAATAAACCAATCCGATTCGGGTTCAAGGTGTGGGCACTTTGCTCCTCAGATGGATATACATGGTGGTGAAAAAGTACGGAAACACCTGAAAATCTCAGAGGGTTGGTCATAAAAATAAAATTCTTAAGGTCAGGTCATATATAACTTTCAACGAGGAATCCAGTGATGACCTTGAATTTGACCTTGGACCTTACCTTCAAGGTCATTTCAAGGTCAACCTCATTTTTTCAAATGAGAACCCCTATTTTTGATGCCGGAATCAAAATGAGCGGGAAATTTTACGTCCGGATACGTGGTTAGGTATGAGGTTAAAGTAACCTCTGAAGGTCAAATAGAGGTCAATGTCGGAAAAAGTATGGAAACCCCTGAAAATCTGAGCGTTGGTCGTAAAAATCATATTGTTAACGTCAGGTCTTATGTAACTTTCAACGATGAATCCAGTGATGACCTTGAATTTGACCTTGGACCTCACCTTCAAGGTCATTTCAGGTCAAATTTCTTTTTTTAAATGGGAACCCACACTTTTGACATCGGCAATTGAATGAGAGTCAAATTTTACGTTAAAATATGCCTTGAAGTCCAAGGTTGACGTGACCTCTGGAGGTCAAATAAAGATTAACAGTATATTTATATCGAAACTCCAAAAATGTGTCTATTTTGATTATTAAACAAGAAAACTAGTTTCTCAATCCAGAATCCTTCTTTTAGCGCTATCCAGGAACAACGACGTGGACGTAGAAGGATTCTGTTCCCTTTGGGGTGCTGGATTATCGTGAGTTCCCCTTGCCTCTCACGTCGGGGTGCTGGATTATCGTGAGTTCCCCTTGCCTCTCACTTAGGGCGTTTTTATGAATTATTATAGTAGATGAGTAAATGGTACCCCGGGGTAAGAGGGTCGATTTGGCACCCGAGCTGGATATAAAAATTAACTATTTTGATGCATTCTATATCCGAAAAGATTAAGTTTGCCGCCGACCGGAACTTCCTAGACCCCTCCCAAGCCTATCTACATACAAAAAACCAGTGTTTTCACGTTTTATTTTTTTTCTCGGGTTGAAAAAAAGATATCGACACCGGGTTGACGGAATTATTTTCTTTGAGTAATTTCCTTTCACTGTGATTTTTTTCAGGAATATATATATATAGGAACTGACCTAAAAAAAATATTTAAACTTTTAAATCGCTCTAGATTCAACCCACATTGCGTTTCAGGCACGAATTTTTGTGAGGAGGTTCAAAATTGTATACTTTACCCCCCCCAAATTGGTTTCAAATCGCTAAGAATGGTGGGTCATAGTTAAAAATCCAAAAAACCCGTTTTTTTATTGTTTTTCGATGATAGCGCTCCAACAGGAACAGCTAGGACAAAACTGATGTTACCATTGTGTTCTACGGGAAAAAATACATCGAAAACATGTATCACTTTACCTCCCAATCATTCGCGACTAGGCTTTACACACAAGAAGAGAAGTGTAGACTGCAGCAGGCTTACCAACAAAAACTCCCATTTTTATACTTTGGTCTCCATATCATTGAACACAAATATTTATGATGATTGTCATGTTCATTTTTACGTATTTTTTCCCGTAGAACTCGATCGTGATATTAGTTTCATCGTATCTCCTTTTAATCAAGCGGTAATGGCCGATAATTACTGGAAAATGGCTATAAAAACCAAGTTTTTGCTCAAAATTTTAATCTTAACGTTAATCCGTAG